CACTTCACAGTCTCACACTAATGAGTATAATGGGGGCTATAAGGGGACATTGTAATTTTACACTATTTGCCTGTTTAGATATGCTACTTCGAAGTCACTGTTGTCTCCAAAATGTTATGAGACCCTGTCTGTGTTGCCACATTTTAAAAAGAGCTATTTAGTTAAAGGGGTGTCTGTGGGTTAGAATGACAATACTTGAGATAGCAACATGTAGAGCTAATGATGATAGAGGCTAAAAAGAAGGTTACAGAATTTTCCGGCATATAAGTCGCTCTGGAGTATAAGTTGCATCAGTCAAAAAAAGCATCATGAAGAGGAAAAACACATGTACAAGTCGCTTTCGTGTATAAGTTGCATTTATTATGTGTCACCACTGACCCGTCAAGTTTATTATACGTTTATTTAATGGTCAAAACAGCTTCATTTCACCTGGGAGGCGCTGTACCATCCATCCATCGCGACTGGTGCTGCTCCAGCTCTCCAGCGTTCTTCCGCCTACACCAGCTGAGTGAAGCGAACATGCACAGGAGGACTCGCTGTTGCAGTTCTTAGAAATTTAACAAGATTAACACTTAAAAAGAATTATTTGTTTGCTCTGAATTGTAGCAAAGATGTGTCTCACTTTTCCTTAATAAATGCACTTTAACGGTCAAAAAGCTTCATTTTGCCTGGGAGGCACAGTGACATCCATCCATCCATCCATACATGCATCCATCCATACATACATCCATCCATCCGTACATCCATCCATACATCCATCCATCCATGCATCCATACATCCATCCATGCATCCATCCATCCATCCATGCATCCATCCATACATCCATCCATGCATCCATACATACATACATACATCCATCCATACATACATCCATCATGACCGGAGCCACTAGCTCTCCAACGTTCTTCCGCCTGCACCAGATGAGTGAAGTGAGCATGTATAGGAGGACTCGTTGTTTCATTTCTTAGAAATTTTAAGCGTTAGTCAAAAATTGCGTTATGAATATGGCAAAAAAAAGTATACAAGTCGCTTCAATGTATAAGCTGCAAAACTGACAAATCTTTGCAAAAAACTGTGACTTATACGCCGGACGATGAGGTCGTTGCTTACAACTGAATTGGAACTACTTTTTCCCTGTTGTTTTTTTATGTTGCTGTTTTGTTTTGTTGTTGTTCTGGGCACCATATTTGACCTGTTGCAATCATGCTGCAAAAATGAAAGAAACAAAACATTTTTTTTTTTAAGTCACACTGCGCACATCTCAAAGCCTTTTTTAAATTAAGGTTCATCATGAAAGTTTTCTGTAATTTAAATGCAACCCACTGTAAATTATTACACCTGAAATCAAACTGTTCAAAGACACAGACTTCCTACTTTTAGACACTCAATGACCTTTTTGCCTTTTCGGTCTCCTTTTTCCACTTTTCCTCTTGTTTTCCCAGCAGAATTACTGTCACCTTTTATTCATATTCACCTACAGAACTTTAGTGACACAGCTTAAAGGACATCTGAGCCCCAGCACTTAAGCGGCGGGCTGAGCTTTCTCCAGGTTTTATGTGGCCTAACTAAAGTGTCCTAACCTAAGCCATGCTGACAGATGCTGTGTCATACTGCGTGTCCACAGGGAGACTCACCGAGCACCAGCATCCAGTTAGACTTCGGGGACGGCATCAAGATCACGTACTCCAACCTGAGCAGGACCGATGATGGCATCAAGCACATCTACAGGATGACTGGGATTTACCGAGTGACAGCTTCAGCAGAAAACAGCCAGGGATCTGACAGCAGCACGCTTTTTTTACACGTCACCAGTATGTGAAGAAGTAACATCATTACTCTTTCCTGCAGCAGTGCATACAGCATGAACCTTTTATATTTTCATAGATATTCACGTCTCCACGTTGTTGAATTTGATGTCAATCATAGTCCTTTTTTTAATGCATTTCATTCTTGGAAACTGCAAAAAGCTCCTGGAGCTGCACTGATTTGGTGCATGTGCTGATGTATGTGTTGATGCTTCAGGTCCAGTGGAGCACATGTATTTCTCCATCCCTATTGTAGCCATCAGAGGGAAAGCAGCTAATCTGACTGCTGTAGTCTGGCCGAGCCACACCAGAACTCTGACCTTCTTCTGGTGGTTTGACAACAGCTCCGAGGTGAGAAGCTTCTCCTCCTCCTTCTTCTTCTACTGCTGTTTGCACAACACACATCTATTGTCTTGTTTATTGTCACTGCCTTCACTCTCCCACTCCTCTCATGTTCTTGTACTGTTGTTAACAATTTTCATAAAAGTAAATTCTGCAGCTCTTTTGCGCAAACCATGCAAAAATCGTAACTGGACGCACCTTTGTGAAAGATCCAGCCCAGATGCGTTGTCATATTTATTTATCACGTTGATTGTATTCACTGAAGCAACCTTCATTATTCAGTGTGTCAAGGGCTGCATATATGTGGTATTTATTCAGTATGTTTTTTTTTCTGAGTATTTCTCTGTTTTTTTCCCCCCACTTTTGAAATTCAGCCCATTATAACATTGGAAGGAAGCATCTCCCACATGTTTCACAGAGAGGGGAAAAACAAGGTCACGGTCCAAGTTGCTTGTGGAAGCACCGTGTTGCAAGACTCAAAAGTCATAACTGTTAAAGGTGAGCAGAAAAGACAGACTTCGAAGCACTTTATTTGGTGTTACATGAATATGCAATATGGTATTTGGGGAAAGTGTAATGTCTCTCGGTCAGCGCGGCGAGCTGTGCCTCGTGTATGTCAACGTAGACCTACCTAATGAATAAAATGTCACGGTACGTGAACAAGAAATCTGGAGGAGCAATTAACTTCAAGGCGTACGCTCTCAAATGAAAAAAGACAAAACTGCACATTAGATTAATCAGAAGCCAAACCAGAAGCAGCACTCATATTCTAATAGACATCACCTCAAACTTTTTCTTCTTCTTTTTTGGTCACAGAGTTCTTCAGGTCACTGCTGTTGTCGTTTTCTCCGGCTCTTGACGAGCACAACCCTGACATCCCTGAGTGGAGGGAGGACATAGGCCGTGTGGTGCGGACAGCTCTGTCACAGGTACATCAAGTCCCAACAGATCTTTGCTGGAAACATCATCGGACTTCGCTGGTCATTACTATTTCATACCTCTGTGCAGTAATAGCACAGAAGCCATGTTGTTATATACCCCATGATCCCCTTTCAAGTTTATCTGTGATGACAATGAAGCTCAACATGGCAACATGTTACCTATCCAGCAGGACTGGATAAGATTTGAACTTTAAAGGTAAATTACGAGCTCAAACTTTAACCTTAATTAAAGAGTCCCACCTGTCGGTTGTCCTGTCCAATCACTGCAGGTTTCTGGAGTCCCTGAAGATCAGCTGCTGGTGTCTCTGTACCCGGGACTTCCAACAACAGCCGAACTCTTTATCCTGCCAGATGAGCAGACGTCAAATGAACACAAAAAAAGGAGCGAGGAGGCGTTGGACACAGTAAGAGTCATGAACTGTAGAAATGTTCACATACTTGATTTTTGTTTTAAAGGTGAAACTTCAATATAAACAGCTTCTTGAATTTTATTCAGATAAGCAGCAAACCAGACAGTCAATACATCTTATGTTCCTGCCTGGACCTTTTTTTTATTGTCGTCATTCTTTATAGACATTTAAATGCTTTTGTAAATCCAAGTTTATAGGATAAAAATAACTAAGGCTTTGTTGAATTAACCAGTCAAAACAGAATGGTTTTTAAAGAGATTCATGATTCAAATTTAATGGAGTTTTCATGTAGCATAAAATGCAAAAACATATTTCTGATAGGTGTCACATGAGAGCTTTATGCAATTTGCAACAGTAATTAGTTTTCTGGCACACATGCAGTTTTCAAGAGGACAAAAAAGTTATTGCAACCAAGCCCAAAAGTTATTTGCTTGCTTGGAGAAAGGAGCAGAGTACCAGCTGTCATTAGGTAACAGATGTGAAAGTTTACAACAGCTACAACTTTCCATGTGCAGTCATTTTTTTTATTTACCTAACAATTAAAAATAACATTTTATTAAAAATAATCCTTAAGTTTTTTGCTAATGAAATTCAAATTGGAAACAATTGTTTAAAAGTTTTTTTTCTATAGTTTTAATGTAGATTGTTTTGAGAGTTATATTGTAAGAAATATAATATGATACAGTAGTCCATCGCTACTTCACTGTTAGACTTTCACAGACTCGCTCGTTCGTGGTTTTTCAAAGTAAGATTGGAAATGACACACAATGAGCTGACTGATGCATGAGCTGCGAGATCGGCATGGTTTTTTTTTATTTAAAATAAATTATTTAAAAGTATTTAGCACCTGCTGCAAGTGTGTGCAGCCCACAGCTGCAGGGAGAAGCTTCCTCCCGCAGCATGTCATGCTCTCCGCTCTGCAGCGGAGAAGTGGTCGTGGTCGAGAGCACTGGCAGGTGGCAGAGAGCGCAGAGATTATGACATTCTGTGTTCTTTTAGAGCATTTAGAGTTTAGAAACATCCATCCATCCATTATCTTTACCTGCTTATTCCATTTTGAGTCACGGGGGTCGCTGGTGCCCATGTCCAGCAATCACTGTGCGAGGGGCGGGGTACACCCTGGACGGGTCGCAAGTCCATCACAGGGCCACATAGAGACAAACGAGACAAACAACCATTCACTCTCTCACTCACACCTAGGGGCAATTTAGAGTTACCAATCAGCCTAACATGCATGTTTTTGGTCTGTGGGAGGAAACCGGAGCACCTGGAGAAAACCTACGCATGCACGGAGAGAACATGCAAACTCCACCCAGAAAGGCCCCTGGACCGGGGTTTGAACCAAGGACCTGCTCGCTGAGAGGCAGCAGCTCTACCAGTTGTGCCACCGTGCTGCCCGAGTTAATAAGATTATAATGTTAAATTAAAATAGTTAATTAGATCACAATAATGCAATAACATTACCTCTTCTTGCACAGTCATCATTTCTGATATGAGGTGGTTGAATA